GGCGACGGTGACCACCAACACGCGCGGCCGCAGCGGGACGACGAACCGCGACAACACCTTCCAGCTCAAGAACATGAAGGGCCGCTCCGAGATCAGGGGCCACTCGCCGACGACGAGCGAGGAGGAGATCATGACGTACGACGGCATCATGCGCACGACCGAGGTGAACATTGTGTACGACGACAAGAGGGACTCCACGCCGAGGCCGCCGCCGGGGGGCAGGGCGCCGCCGCCAGCATTGGATCGTGGCCCCGGGAGGAGTCATTACGATACCAAGCTCTACTCGACCAACAGCTCAGAGAGTTTCTGAGAGAGGCCCGGGGGAGGATGGGAGCGGGTTTCTCCCCCTTGTCCTTGGGCCGCTTGTTTTTTTGCCATGATGACGATTGCATTGTAGTACAAAATAGATTAAAGATACCTCACGCGCACACACACTGCGAAACAAAATCAACTGTTCCCTCTTTCCGCTTTCTGTCTCTTCTTGATGATGCTGCGGTTACGCTGGACGTAGAAGTCGGTCACGAGCCGCGGGGGAGGGATTCCCATGTATATAACGCCGTGTTATTGACCATTGGCGCTAAGAAAAGACGCTCGCTCGAGGGAGGGGGCCCATTGGCACCCAAGCACAGGAATGGGCAATATACTTGATACTTACTCCCCACCGCATCATCGGGAGCGATTTAGATCACACCCGCTTTTGTTCTTTCCGGCCTTGCGACATGGCCTGTACGCGTCCTCGAAACTTCGCTGGGGGTTGGTGGGCTTGGGTGGTGTTTCTCTCTAGCGTCCAAGGCAGGGCCAAGCGCGAGTGCGCCACAGTGGGCTGCGGTTGTTCTGGAAGGGGACACAAAAATAAAATGCAACGGGGCAAGGGCAGCATTGTCTGTGCAAGATGTGATGGAGTGAAGGGGAGAATACCAGGCGGACAGGCGGTATGTTTCCACTGGATGCGCAAAGAACACGGGTTGATTTGGGGGTTGGATTTAGAGCGGGAGATGGACATTGGAGAACCGGGCCGTTGATGCAAGGTAATTTGCCAACGGTGGACGCATGCGATCCCATCTCTTGGCGGAGAACGCCGTGCCGGTGGATGAAGGAGACGGGAAGAATGTTGTCTCGTTATTGCACATGCCGTCCGGATCATGGCACCGCACCGGACGGAAGATCGAGATGCGGTTCCAGAGCTTTTCCTTGGTGTAATTTGGCTTCATCAGAACTCACTTTGAAGGAGAGATTGGGTCGGGGGATTGCTTGCGCCGTAGAGCGTGCCGGCGGCTGCTGCTCCCGATGACTCCCGTCGAAAGTTCGGTAGTGAATCCTTTGCTTCAGGTCTTCCGGAGGGTCTCGTCCAGTTGCTAGCGGCGAGTTCCGCTGCGCAACTTTGCTCGAGGAGACGATGATCTCGTTAATCAGTCTGCTTGCTAGTGTAAGGGCAGCTCTCCCTGTCCATGTCTTGAGACGCGCCGGTGGGAAGGGCTAGTCTCGGGCACAATGGCGCGAGAACCGGGTGCTGCAACGTCGAGGTGCTCTGGCGGACGATCTGGTGTTATTTGGGTGCCCGGGCTATATAATATATAACTGGTTATGAACATGTCAAAAGGATTCCCGCTGTCTGGATATGATCACCATGCTGCTGACGTCTCCTGAGGCGAGACGTTGCTTACGCAGTGCTCGAGGCCCGTTAGCTCGACTGCTCCGTCTGGGCGGAAGGTGGGCAGCGCGTAGCATTGGCTGATGTCTTGTCAGAGCCATGATAAAAGGCGCGCGGCCCAAGCATGGCGGTCCAGTGTCGTTGAGGGTCGTTCATGACTCGGGAGGTTTTTGCTCGAGAATTTTCGACAATTTCATTCCTGGAAAGCCAAGGGTCTGAGCAAAACCAGTTTGCGAGTCAACGAGTGCCGTGCTCTCTTGCTCGCTGAAGATTTCGCTTCTGGTACACGGTGAGCCGGCGTCGAATTGGCTCAATTCCAGAGGATCGACGTTCTGCCCTTGAGTTCCGCAACATGCCCGTAGGCATGCTGCCAACTTTGGGGCAGTTCGAAAGTTGCTTTTGGTCTTATTGCCAGGTGAGCCCGGGCTATTGCGGTGCCGAAGCCCTCGGAAGGATCCGTTGACACGTCTTCGACCAGTTCGTCTGAAATTATTGCAGAGTTGACCTGTGAGGCTTCGGGTCCCTAGTTTCGAGAGAAACAGGGAGGTCACAGGTTACGCTGCTCTGTGCCTTGTGTGAAGATGATGTAATTATCCGACACACCGTCCAATTGAGTTGTCGCAGGTGAAGGAAACCCCCCACCGCGGGGTAGCTGAGGGGCAGGTAGAGCTTTCTAGCATCGCCAGAGCAAGAGCATAACGTGACAAAGGAAGCGTTGACAGTTCCTCTTCAACTTAAATCGCGTTGGTACTCATAACCTTTTTTGAGACTCTGATCGGAGCCTTGATACACGAAATGGCTGGAAAGGATGTTGTTGTGACTGGCGCGACCGGCCTCCTGGGACGCCAGGTTGCTAGAGCTTTCGACCGCAAAAGCTGGAATGTCAAGGGCACGGGATACTCTCGCGCAGACAACGTGTCGGTGTTCAAGGTCGATCTGGGAAGCCCTGCCGGAGTTGAAAAGTTTCTCGAGGAGTCCAAGTAGGTTTGCGTTCTCTACTTCGAGACGGCTGGAGCTAATGCCTCTCCCAGGCCTCGAGTAGTTGTGCACTGTGTGTCAACCCATGTCTAAACTTGCTTCATGTGCATGGAATCGCTCATCAATCGTTCAAAACAGGTGCGGCTCAGCGATATCCTGACAAGGTGGACAGCGACCCCGACGCCGCCAGAGCACTCAACGTTGCCGCCACCAAGTCACTCGCCAGCCTCTGTGCTGCTCGGGGCATCTTCCTCATCTACATTTCCACCGACTACGTCTTCTCTGGAAAGCCTGGAGAGGCCCCCTACGAGAATGACGCCCAGACTGGCCCTACGAACCTGTACGGCCAGACTAAGCTGGACGGAGAGCATGCTATGCTAGAGGAGTACAAGCAGGCCGGCCGCGAAGGTCTCGGTGTCGTACTGCGCGTACCGGTCCTCTACGGTCAGGCAGAAACGCCTGCCGAGAGTGCCACCAACATCCTCTTGGACACCCTGTGGAAGACACAGGACGGGCAGTCAAAGGTGAAGATGGACCACTGGGCCATCCGATACCCCACCAACACTGAAGATGTTGGTCGCGTGTGCCATGGTAAGCGCACTCCCTCATAGTCTCAGAAGCAGAGTTGACGGTGGACCAGATATTGCTGTCAAGTACACCGAGGCCGACGACCGTAGCTCGTTCCCCAAGATCCTCCAGTTCTCCAGCGAGGACAGAATGACCAAGTACGAGATCTGCCAGACGTTTGCCGAGATCATGGACTTGTCGATGGACGGCATCGTTGCGAACACGGAGGGCAACGACCCCAATGCCAGCGTACAGCGTCCGTATGACTGCCATCTCAGCACCAAAGCGCTCAAGGACCTAGGCATCGACGTGTCGACAAGCGACTTTATCGGATGGTGGAGACGCGAGGTGCACGCTTTCCGACATTAGTCTGGATCAGCGCCTTGCGCGAACTGCATCGGCAACTTTGACCTCTGGGAAGTTGTGGACCAGCAGATGGGCAACGGAGCTGCGAAGAAAATGCTAGGTACTCTGCACGCAGGTTGTAATGAATGTTCCTCTGCCGCTCTTGGCGCTGCACAGGTAGCATGATATGTATCGGGCAGCACGTGATGGTGATGGCTGTTGAGCTAGAGAATCGGTCCGCAAGACAGGATGCTTCGTCAAAGCATGGGGAAAAGAAGGGACAGAGACAGGGACGCTCAGATGGGGCTCAGGAACAGGCTCATTCCACAATACGAATTCGTCTCTAGCACTGAAATGCATACCGTGGTCTCTGCACAAGCGCGTCGCCTGTTCGCGGAAGTGTAAACAGAGCACGTCCGAGACGGCGTTCAGGGCTGGACTTGGAATGCATCGTGGAGAGAAGTGTGATGACACAATAGACCGGGCAAATTGGACATGAGCGATTGGCATCTGGCTCACGGGGCGCAGTTGCACCTCATTGTGCTGCGTGCCGGTGGACGCGTCTTGTGAAGAGGTGGCCCTTTTTCCTCAAATGTCCCTTGGGTGTCTCTCCATGTCTATGGGCGGGAGGTGGAGTTTTAATTGCAAGAGTCGTAAAAAAGCCTCCCTTGGTACCCCGTTCCTGACGGACCCGACTTATGGGAAGGAAGGTCTCGCCACTTTCCTTTTTCCATTTGGTAGATTTTGTTCTTTCTTTTGCTTCCTTCTCAGACCCGAGTTTACAGGTAATTCTCACCCCTGCGCCGTGTCAATTATTGCCGGTGGGCGGCAGCGAGAGCAGCGACAACTACGACGACGTTTAATTATCTCCTTGCTTCGTTTTTCCATGGTTACACCAATTGGCAATTACGCTTAATCGATACCGGACGGCGTCAGAGTGTCTGACCGAATACCCGAAGAAGGGACTGCACAAAGGAAAAGAGAAAAGAAAGAAAATTAAGGTCATCTCAATCTGCTGGATCGTTATCAATCACTTGCATGATCTGCAGGGTCCTGGGGGAGGACTGCATCCGGACGCAAGATAACGTTCAGCAGTTCCCTGCTGGGCTGGGGAGATCATCTCCAGCTCCGGCTCCGAGGTCCCAGCGGACTGGGCCGCTGCCGCTTGCGCTATCCGCAACCTACCTACCGCTGCCATCGACGCGCATCCATATCGGACGAGAAAATCCGGGGGATTGGCAGAGTAGCCCTATCGTCTATCGGATCGATCTCTTCAGACGGACGGGAGAGTACGGGGTCGGGTCGTCATCGTCGTTTGATTGTTTAGGGAGGCATTCGAATCCTTCTGGTCCCCTCTCCGACCGAGAAAGAAATCCTTACGAATACAGAAAGGTATTAATAAATAATTAGCGCAATGGAAGCTGCTGGAGGCGGGCTGCATCCGCGTATTAGTCGGACCATGTCGGCAGGGCCAGGACCACCCAAATCGCCAGCTCCGCATCCACCACGACGGGGACACAGCGTTACCGCCGGACGGCTGACCCGGTACAGGAACCTGCGGGAGCACAAGAGCGTGCTGGACTTTGGCCGAGACTGGAGGGACTGGGAGGTGGACATTTTTCAGGATGACGACACTGTGTCGAGTGCCACGACGGAAACGGGCACCGCGACAAGCATTGGCGTTTGCATCGGGATCGCCGTCGATGATGAGCAGCAGCAGACAGAACCGCAGCAACTGGCGACGACAGCGGCACAGACACCAGCCAGGAATACGCAGCAGCAGCAGCAGCGTGGCCAGACGACGCCCTCTTCCGCGGCGAGACGGCGGACGGCACCGGCACTCACGCTCCAACCACCACCGCAAACCCCGCTGCAGTTGTCGCGCCCACAGTCGCATTGGCAGTGGCCCGATGTTGGTGTTGGTGTTGGTTTTGGTGCATTTGAAGACGACGACGACGACGACGACGAGGCATCCCCCTCTTTTCTCGGACGCGGCACGACCAGCTGCTACTATGCGTCTAGGTCTAATCTGAACGATTACCACCCGTATTCTTCTAGCACGGAAGCAGCAGAAGCAAGCGTCACAGCGCCGCCGTGTCCCGAGTCTCCTGTGCGGTTCAGCTACCCCAACAGACGGCGGCCAAAAACAGCCCCCAATGCGGCCGAGAGCCCCTTGCAGGGGGGTTCGCCCAGCACCCCAAGCGAACCGGGTTCCTTATTTTCCTTAGCGCGCTCCAGTTCCGGGTCCAGGACCCCAGCCCCAGGGGTTTCCTGCACCCACCAGGCCATTCAGACGAGTGCCCAGCGTCCGCCTGCCCCATCTGCAGGATCAGCGTTATTATTGCCAGCGTCAGCTGCTGATGCGGCAGCGGCACCACCACCCCTTCTCCAAGCACTCGCTCTCGGCCAGGTACCTGGTGCTGCTTTGCCTTTAGGAGAAGGACCATCGCCTGCAGGATCAGCAGCAGCAGCACCACCACCACCACCAACTGCACCACCGCCGAATGTACCACCTCCTCCTCCTCCTCCGAATTTCCTGCCGCCTCCTCTTCCGTTAACCGCAAGGGTAGCACGCGACTCTCTGCCGCCTCCTTTACCCCAGCTGAGGCCTCGCTCGCACAACCCGATCCTCGTTTCCAACTCCTCGTCATGCGCCGACCTCAAGCTCTCTGCACGAGCTGACCACGCCCGCTCCCAAATCATCACCAAACTCAACCTCCACCCCGTACCCAGCAGAGAACAGCTCAGAGACGCAGAGTGGGAGAAGCACCGCCAGCAGCAACAGCAGCTCCAACAGCAAATTGAACAGGAGGAGGAAGACGATCGCCGGCGCAAGGACCAGGAACAGGAGGAGGCCACCCGCTGGGCCGAAGAGGTCGCCCGTCTCGAAGCAGAGACTGATCGCATCTTGGCAGAACAGAAGAGGAAGGATCTCGCAAGACTTCAGGCTCAATTAGCCGCTGTTCCCGACCCCCCGCCCCGACGATCGCCCATCGTCAACAAGTTCGCCTTCTTTCTTAGAAAAGGTCGCAAGTCCGACCCTGCTACGCTCACAAAGTCCCCTCCCACATACTTTCAGCCACTTTCGCTCGATTGCCGGCCAGTCAGCGTCATGGATCCCTCACGCTTCATTCAGGCCGGCGGAGGCGGCATCGTCCCCCAGACCGATGCCCCCATCACAGCCAGCAATGCTGGCGAACGTGTGAGTTGAACGAGTCTTTCGTACTGTCCCATGCGCCTCTGCTAACACCGCGCCCAGCGAGTGACAATTCGGTGTATGCAGTCGTCCATCAGCCTGCCCGTCACCCCCGAGACGACTCCCATGGAAATTTTGTATTCGGCCGCCAACCTCATGACCCAGAACATCAACCCGCAAACCAGCATTGTCATGGAGTGTTACTTCGCCTTTGGCCTGGAGCGTCGACTTAGGCGATATGAGAGGGTGAGAGATGTCTTGAACTCATGGGACCGTGACAGCCAGCACTGCCTTCTCATCATCCCTGGAGACTCTGTCGACAAGAACCCCGATCTAAACGTCGAAGTCGTGCCCCGCACCATTGACCCCCCGGCCGGTCTGATCAACTTTTTGATGTACCACTCTTCGCGACCCGGGAAGTGGAACAAACGCTACATCACCATCAGGGAGGATGGGCAGGTGTTTTCCGCCAAGAAGAAGGACGCCAAGGTCTCGGACAAGGATTCGCTTTCACTGTGTCATCTTTCGGATTTTGACCTCTACTCAGTCACAGAGAAGGACATGTTGAAGCAAATCAGAGCACCCAAGAAGAACACATTTGCCGTGAAGAGTCAGCAAAAGTCCAGCGTGTTCCAAAACACCGAAAACTTCATCCACTTCTTCTCGACCGATGACGCTAGACTCGCCGAAGACTTTAAGAGAGTCCTGCATTCATGGCGCAGTTGGTACCTGGTCAACAAGAAGGTTGATCTGAGTAAGCCAAAGAAGACATCGCGCAGCCCGAACGAGAAGCCCTCAAGTGGTCTTGCCAGAAGCGGGACCCTGCACCGACTCAAAGTATCGGTAGACGAGACCCCGTACACGATTGGAACATTCTCTCCGCTCCTGGATATGGAAAAGCTCGAAAAGTCCATCGACGACATTGGTAGGGAGCCCGAGAAGCACTCAATGCGGCCGGCAGAGCAGCTCTCTGTTCCGAAGCAGCAAAAGGTCGTCTCTCGTTCAAGGACTACGCCCAACCTTGCTTCTCCGATGTCGAGGAAGCATATTGATCCATTTGCCAGGGACCAGGAATTCAGAAACAGTGGTTTGCTGGGGCGCGCGTATGAAGGACGAAAGCAGCAGGCTGAGAAGAACGCGGCAGCTGCAGCTCACGAAGATCTCTCGCCCGACAGCCCTTTTACTGGAGGGCTTCTCACCAACTACCCGGAGCCTGAGATGCAAACGTCCGGCCAGCTGAGCGGGATGCCCGCGAGAAGAGGTACGGTGCGCACGTCCCGGTCGGCCGTGGAACCAATGGCCCAACCCCGAAGCCGGTCCCGCCCGCCCGTCGCTCGTCCAACTACGTCAGCACGCCCGACAACATCGGACGGACCGTCCCAGAGGAAACCAGGGATGCCTCAGCCTCTGGTCGACCTAACACCCAAGGTCCCAGACTTGCCCGCCGCTTGGCGAGAGGGTCACGGCCGTGGAATCAAGGCGCCGACAGGCACGCCTTTGATTCAGATGGCCACGGGCTGGGAAAACTCACCGGATACCACAATGGCACCGCAACTGCCAACCGTAACTCGCATGGGTACGACCAAGGCGTACCCGCCTCAGCGCATGGCTTCGCAGTCGGCGGCCTCAAGACCGAGGAGTCGCTCGACGGCTGGTGGCGCACCCGTCCGCCGAGTCGTGTCCAACGAGCAACCACCCATGCCGTTGATGCCGAGACGGACTTCGCGACAAAATGACGAGGACGTGCCGCTGATCAATTTCGTCGAGCGCGAGCGAGGTCGCGACGCGAGACCCCGCGCCTCGCAGGGCCTTGGTCGGAGTGGCACTGTCAGACATTGACCGTTGCCATTTGATAACAATGGCTTGTCTCAACCTTGTCTCAGACCGAGAATGACGCCAAAGAGAAAGAAAAAAACCCGAAGTTGAAAAGAAAAGGAAAAAAAAAGGGGGTCAAGAGCTGCATAATGGCCCGTGGGGTCACAGTAGAGAAGGTCTCGGGGAAAGAGACGAGTAATGGGCCCTGAGTAAGCCGTGCACGCAAGATTTGGCGTATGGGTGATTTAGCTTGAAAGATACCCGGTTGTTGACTTTTGCGTCACACAGCACAAAAATAGGGGGACAGATGTCAAGTGGGTGATGTATCTGGACAGGAAATCTTCTTTGTTTACTTAATATGGCCATGTATGAATCTAACGGTCTATTATCGTCGTCATCAGTTCAATTGGACTCAGGTATCTTTCTTTTGTCTTCAATGCCAATGCCGCGCCACATTAAGGTGTTTTTATCTCTCTTCAACTCGTTCGATTCGTTGTTCCGCTAGCGTGTCGCATGCGCGTGTGTGCGCGCGCAGTTTACTTGCTGCGCTTGTAGATCTTGGCCAGGAAGGCCTCGAAGATGCCCTTCTTGAGGCCCTCGCTCTCGTCAATGTTGTTGATCATGTCCTTGATCTCGGTGGCGCGCTTCTCCTCAAACTCCTCGAAGCGCTCCTTGAGCTTCATGTCGTCGTAGAGCTTCTTGATGACGGCCTCCTTCTCCTTGTCCTTCTGGCCGTAGTTCTCCTCGAGGATCTGGCGCTGCTCGGGGGTGGCGAGCTGCAGGGCCTGGTTGACGAGCCAGCTGCACTTGTTGTCCTGGATGTCGGTGCCGATCTTGCCAATGTGCTCGGGCAGGCCAAAGTTGTCGAGGTAGTCGTCCTGGATCTGGAAGTACTCGCCGAGGGGGATGAGGATGTCCTCGGCCTGCTTGAGGTTCTTGGGGGTGGCGATGTTGAGGCAGTGGAGGGCGAGGGCGACGGGGAGGTAGAAGGAGTAGTAGGCGGTCTTGTAGATGACGATGAAGCGGTACTTCTCCATGGAGAAGTTGTCGAGGTTGACCTGCTCCTCGGGGGCGGTGAGGAGGTCGCAGAGCTGGCCGAGCTCGGTCTGGAAGGTGACCTCGTGGAAGAGCTCGATGAGGTCGACGTAGGAGGCGTGCTCGCGGAAGAAGCGCTTGAGGAGGGTGTAGATTGCGGCCTCGAGCATGAAGGAGTCATTGATGGCGATGTTGCCGACGCCCTCGTGGCGGTACCAGCAGGGCTTGCCGCGGCGGGTGATGGAGCCGTCCATCATGTCGTCCGAGACGAGGAAGAAGGCCTGGAGGAGCTCCGTCATCCAGCCGAGGGTGGCAGCCTGGAAATACTCCTCCTCAGAGAGAGGCTTGCCGAGCAGGAGGGAGACGGAGTCGGGAACGGACATGCCGCGGTTGCATTTTCCGCCGAGGGTGTTGACTTCGAGGGACTGTATAGCTCCGGGGCGGAGTCAATTGTCAATTGATATGGTCTCATTTCCTTTCTGCAGACAAGCGCAGTGTCTCAACTGCCATCACCGATCTCGGTGGTGGTCTTGGTGGTAGTGGTGTCAGCTTGCCTTCTTGTACCATAACAGCTCCTCCTTGGGGAGCTTGTACTTTTGCGCATGCTCGACGAGGACCTCCTCGAGCTTGGGGAAGACGGACTCGAACTCGGCGAGGGTGGTTTTCTTGGCCATCTTGACGGTTTCTGGAATGGTGCGGAGCTATGGATCGGGACGAGGCTTGTTGAGGCGTTTTCGTGGTCAGCTTTCCAACGGTCGCGCGAGGTATCAGAGGACGGGTTGGCTTAAGAAGCGGAAGGCCGAAGCAGACTTTCTGTCTTCCCGATAGGCAAAATAAAAAAGGGGGCCCTGGTGGGACGTGGAGGACTTACAATGGGTGACCGGGGCGTAAGCAAAAGTGAGGGTGAGCGGGTGAGGTAGGCAGGGGGAGATTTTGTTTGCGCGGGGCGGTTGATCGCAAATTAATGCGCCGGGCGTGTAAATTGTTGTACCTACATGTGGTAAAAGTGCGGGCAATCAAGTGAATTGGTACCAACGGCTCAGCTTGCACCACCACCACCAATGCGACCCCTCATCCGATCTTCATTTTGTTCGATTCAGGCAGGCGGTGGAGGGGTACTTTGGACCGGTGTGCGGTGAGGCAGTCGCTGCGGCTGGCAAAGTTGCAGTAGGAATGGAAAGCGACGGTTCCCGGGCGTGGTGGGGCTGGCACTCGGGATGACAGGCGCCCGGGGCGTCCTGATCAGGTCCCTTGCTCAGTGGCTGTTGCTCCCTGGAAGTGGAGGGGCAGAGGCGGTCAGTGTCACTAAACTGAAGGTCGTCGCGCCCAGCAAGCGCGTTGTGGATGTTGACTTCCATCGCCAAGTGGATAACGCCTTTTCTGCCGTTAAGCCTTACTACGTCAGGTCAAAGAAACACAACCCGTACATTTCGACAGCTCCAGCGTCCTTCAACCCCCTTCGACGGCAAGAAACTCTCCGGTTCCTCCTCGTATGCGCGGCCCAGATTGTGTCTAGAAACGTAAGCGCAACATCGGATAACGCGACCAATTGGGGCATCTTTAGCCGCGTTGTTTGAGGCCTTCACCCTTGCCCATCGCGCGCGACACTGCTATATACACACACGAACGAAACAGCGACCCCCCGCCGAGGATGCCCAGAGATGTCGCTCAACGAGAATGACCTGTCGCAGCTCCGCGCTTCGCTCCAAGATGCCGTTGTGAAGTGCTCCGAGCGGTGCCTCTACTCGTCTGCGAAATGGCAAGCTCTCTCCCTGCTGCCGTCCGAGGCGACCCCTGCAAGAGCTTGTAGCTAACGTTGCTCCTGTTCCCAGGGCGGCAGAGCTCCTCAATTCTATACCCGAGACCTCGACCGATGCCGACGTCGCCGACACCGATGGGCAATATGTCCCGACCGTCTTCACGCCCAACGCCGACCCGGAGGAGGCTCTGCTTGAGGCCAGAGAGATTAACAAGTACCTGCTGGCCAAGGCGCTGTTCGACTCGAGGGAGTTTGACCGCTGCGCCGCGGTATTCCTCCCGGATGCTGTGCTATCGGGCATGATGAACGCCAAGGCTGAGGGGGCGCCCAAGGGAAAGGGAAAGACGAGAGAAGACAAGGCGTTCAACAGCACCGAGGTCCCGAGGTTGAGCCAGAAGAGCTTGTTCCTTGCGCTTTATGCAAAGGTCATGTCCGGGGAGAAGCGCAAAGACGAAGACTCTGAGATGGTGATGGGACCGCAGGATCTGGGTAACGTGGTCAACAAGCAGCTGAATGCTGTCAGCCGGTTTCTCAGCAATTGGTTCGACGAGAGGACGACGGATGACGGAGAGGTGCTTGGGAGCCAGGGCTGGCTGGAATACCTGTGAGTGTGAGTGCGTTGATGGTTCGGACAAGTACTGACTGGAGTAGGTATGGAATGGTGCTTGCGAAGGAGAAGAACGAGGATAAGGCCATGGACTTCTTCATTCGCAGTGTCCATCTGTATCCCATGAACTGGGGCTGCTGGCTCGAAATGACCTCACTGATTTCACGGCTCGACGACGTAGGTCCCGGACGTGTACATAGACTTGAACTTCCATGCTAACTGGTGCTAGTTGAGTCGTATATCAGCCCACCTCCCTCAGAATATCGTCTCCTTCATTTTCCATCTCCACACCTCCCTCGAGCTATACCAGCAAAGTCCCGAGCTCGCGAACTCTCTGGACCAGCTGCTGAACATCTTCCCGACCTCGTCATTCCTCCTCACATGCAATGCCCTCCTTTCATATCACGCCAAGGATCTTGTGGCGGCCGAGCAACACTTTAGTCGACTGTTATCACTGCACCCTCACAGGCTGGATTCACTGGATCACTACTCCAATATCCTCTATGTCATGAATATGAGGCCGAAGCTTGCATTTTTGGCACATTTATGTTCCAGCATCGACAAGTTCCGCCCAGAGTCCTGTGTAGTAGTAGGCAACTACTACTCACTGCTTTCAATGCACGAGAAAGCAGTACAGTACTTCCGTCGAGCCCTTACACTCGACCGGACTTGCCTGTCTGCATGGACACTCATGGGCCATGAGTATGTGGAGCTGAAAAACACCCATGCGGCGATCGAATCATACCGACGCGCAGTCGACGTCAACCGCCGGGACTACCGAGCTTGGTACGGCCTCGGGCAGACATACGAGATGCTTGAGATGCACACCTACAGTTTGTGGTACTACAAAAAGGCGGCCGGCCTCAGGCCTTGGGACGGCAAGATGTGGATGGCCGTCGGCTCTTGTCTACAGAAGATGGGGCGCGACCAGGACGGCATCAAGGCTCTGAAGAGAGCCCTGCTCGCAGATGCCTACTACGATGTTGGAAGCAGCTTCGGCAGTGGAGGAGACTTGCTCAGCGGCCGGGGTGCCACGGGACAACTGGACCCAGAGGTGCTGTACCAGATTGCGATGATGTATGACCAGCTAGGAGAGCTCGAGGAGGCTAAAGCGTACATGGAGCTGTGCCTCGCGCAAGAGGGTGGTGAGGCCGCGGCTGAAAATAACCTGGGTGATTCGATTGCTATTCACAACGACTCTCCCGGCGCTTCTGACGACGAAGGCAACGGAGAGGGCCGCGGAGACGGCGGACATGAGGGAACGGGGGTCACTGCCTCGACGAGCAGGGCGCGGATGTGGCTAGCAAAGCATGCCATGGCAAGCCATGACTTTATGACGGCCAATCGGCTTGCCACGGAGCTCACCCAGGACGGGTACGAGGTTGAGGAGGCGAAGGGCTTGGTCAGGGAAGCAAAGGCGAGGCTACGTAATGCGGGAGTAGGTCTTAGCCCATGACCTTGTCATTGAACATGGCAAAAAGAACCACACGGGTTGCGAGGCCTCTGTCTCATTCAGCCCCGCGGAGATGTCTGCAGTTCAGATGATGTCACGGTCAGAAAATGATGCGTCTGAGAGAAAAGAGAGCATAGAGCTCTCACGTATGTTTTATGCTCGAGTACAAT